TAGGAGTCTTCATGTTCTGTCTCCCTTTCTGATATTTCCTACCCATTTCTTCTCCCTTCCCTTCTATTCCCTTTCACTATTATTTTTGAATTCTATTTCTGACATTTTACTTAAATCCATATCCATTAGATCCATGGCAGAGAGTACTACCTCTCATTCTTTCTTTAGTTGTTAATTCCTCCTTCTAGCCATTTTGTCCAGAGAAGAATGGATGAACGAGTGACCAGAATAAAAAACATAAACCATGACCCAATCAAAATACACACTAGATAAATCTTATGAGATCTGAAAAAAAAAAAAACAAAAAAAGCAATAGAAAAATAAAAAGAGATATGAGAGAATATAATCTCATAGGGTGGTCAAAACAGGGTAACCCACCTATTCCTGATAATATTTTGGGCTGTGTGCTAGATGACACTAAATCTCAAAATTGTAAAGAAAGCAAAACTTACATATATGTGTAAATATATATATATATTTACATATATATAATTGAATAGAGTGAAAGGAAGCCAAAAATAAAGTATATATCTATAAAATAGAAGAGTAAAAAGTGAAAGTCAAAAAAAAGACAAAAATAAAGAGTTGCTAAAATAAGAAAGCATTTGAAAAGGGAAAAAAGAAAAAAGTGGAAAAACTTAAATTGAGAGATAAATGAATCATGAGAAATATCTTTGGATTCTATGTACTATTTTCCATTAGCATTGGAGTTTTACAGCCTTGTGGGGAGTGTAAATTTGCTGTACACTCGTTCTTCCAGTTGGTCTTCTGGGGGAAGGGCCTGTTGCACTGCTTCTCAGGTGTCTTTGCCTGAGCAGAGTTGCACTTTCCTTGCCAGGGGCCAGGTGCAGTATAAGCTGGTCTTCACTGTGGCTTTTGTTCCGTGAAGACTTTCTGCACCTCTTTAGAGGATCAAAATTAAAATGGCTGGGCTAATCCAGCCTCAGAGCCAAAAGATTTGGGTCCTCTCTCTTTAGTAAACCCACAGGGATAAATGGTCTTCACTTTTGTGTGTGCCAGTCTGCAGATTCCTTTGGTGCTTGTCCACACTGATCCTCCCAGGGGAAGTTAGGGTGTCTCACCTTGATGTACATTGTAGGGTGCTGGGACTGGGAAAGTTTGCCAGATCCAATGCACACTAGCCCTGCCCCTTCTGGAAGATAGAGGGCCTCCCAGCACCATCTTTTATAGGGACCTCACCCTGAGAGCTGTTGTCAGGTCATGCATTCACCTGGTCTATCCCTCCTTGTGAATGGCAGAGGATCCCTGTGTTCCAGTCCTCTGCACGTTCCCCTGGTAGAGAGCAATCACCAGATCGTCCCAGCTCCTGGTCTATGGCAATCAGTCTTGAGAGCCCCATCCTGGGCTGGCCAACCCTAACTAGTTTCCCTGTTCCACTGCTTGGGAATTCCACCAGTTCAAGGCACCCTTGTTAATTCTGTGACTCCAGGGATCCTGAGACCACACAGTCCCACCTAGAATTCTCCCTATTTCAACATCTGAGCTCCTTTGGGCAGTGATGTCTCCCACTGGAGCAGATGTCCAAGGGTTACGATTTTGCCCTTTGGGGTTGTAATCACTTTCCATTAGCCAGCTTACACAGGCTACCTGCCCCCTGCCATTTATCTTCCAATATATCCCCTCAAATTCACTTCTATGCACCTCCTACCTTGCAAAATGTGGTCACTTTTCTACTTGATAAGTTCCAGATATTTTTTTTCGACATCCAGTTTGAATTCATGGGTGTTCAGAATGCTTTCATAGTTAACTAGCTAAATTCAAGGGATCAGATGAAAGGAGGTCCCACACTTTTCTACCATCCTGCCTCCTATAGCATTTTCAAATGTATTTGGAATTTTTAATTTAAAAGTGTGGTCCCAGGAAGACCAGCATCATCTCGGAACTTGTTAGAAGGACAAGATCTGGGCTTCACCCAGAACTACTGAATTCCAAAACTGGGGACAGAACCCAGAAATCTGTATTTTCACAAGCCTTCCATGTGAAGTGGCATCTGATGAAGTTTGAGCACTAATGAGTAGAGTAATATTCTTGACTTCTCTCTGACTGTTTTCTCACTATGATTAGTGACCTGAAGAGATATCACTGAGCATGATCAGCTCAGCCCCTTCTAGTATTTTGTTGGTTTTTGCTTTACTTGATTTGTTTTGTTTTTTTTATCCAGAACCAAATTACCCACAGGGCACATGCTTTCCAACCTGCTCACACACAAGAAATCTAATAAAAGTAGGCTCTTTCCTGTGCTAGGAGGCAGAGGTTGCTCAGCACTACTTGTGATGAGGAGTATATTCATGTGAGTGATGCAAGATTAAGGAGCCAATTAGGCTGTCTATATAAAGCTGAGGGCTTAACCAACTATTTCTATATCTTGATTATCAATTAGTTCAAACACAGGAGGTAGAAATAGAGTGTTATTTATTGGACCTCTACAGATCCAACAATGGGTTGTACTGAAAAGTAGGCAGGATGTTGGTTCAAATCACATGCAGTAGAGAGACCTGGTTGAGAGACTAAAAGGACAGAAGAACCAGATGAAATACTACAACTTTGTAAGCAAATGGAACTTTACAAATAGTTCTGACCTCTGGCATTACAGATAAGTAAGCAGAGCATGGAAGGCACTAAGTGGTTTGTCCAAGGTCACAATGCTAGTTAGTAGTGAAAACTAGAACAGGACCCAGGACACATGGCTCTGAGCTGTGCACTTTCCAAGCAGGTAGATAAAAGCAGACAACAGTGCAACAATTTTAATATCAAAGAATACAGACATGACCAATTAGAAGAAGAACCAGCCCCAGGGATTTTCAGCTCGGGCAGTGGGTTCAAAGCCAGAGTGCTTTGTGCTCAGAGGAAAGCTCTGACTCCAATCCACCTGTGCATTTTTTGTTGCCCCCCTCTCCATGAAGACACACCCTGCTCAGTGTGATTTGAACACTGCTTCATTTTCCTGTGCTTTTCCTGGTGTTCCTAGAATTCCCCCATGAAACCCATGTGTAGAAATTCTATCTTTCCCTGGAGAAAGCCAATTTAAGTGGCATTTCTCTACAAAGTCTTCTCTGATTTTACCAGTCAACTCTCGCCACTGTGACAGTCACAAGTGATCATCTTCCACTCTGAATTCCCAGGGCATTATTTACATATTATTTATGACAATACTTTTTACCTTGCATTGCAGCTGTGCTTTACCCTTGATAGAATATAAGCCCCTTAAAGACAGCAATCATATTTCATCTTTTCTTTTTTTAATTTCTTTTATTTTTAATTGAAATATAATTAACATAGAGTGTTGTTATTTTATTCTCAGGTGTGCAATATAATCATTCAACATATATATATATCTCAGAGATCATCCTGAAAAGTGTATTTTTAACTCCTTTATCTATTTCACCCATCCCCTACCTCCTCTCATTGGCAAACACGGGTTTCTTCCTTGTATTTAAGAGTCTGGGGTGGTTTTTCTTCATCTGTCTCTTCTCTTATTTGTTTATTTCTTAAGTACATATATGAGTGAAATTACGTGGTATTTATGTTTCTCTGATCTATTATTCCATGTAACATCACAATCTCACATATGTATACATATATGTGATTATTTTCACATATATCTGTACCACATTTTCTTTATCATCAATTAGTCTTTCAATGGATACTCGGGATGCTTCATATCCTTGGGTATTGTAAATAAACATAGGAGTGCATATATCTTTTTTGAATTCATACAAATAAAACTTTTTGCACAGAAAAGGAAACTACCAACAAAATAAAAGGTGAAGTATATAATGGGAGAAAATATTGCAAATATATTGTTGGATATATCCAACAAGGGGTTGATGTCCAAAGTACATAAAGGCCTTGCATAACTCAACACCAAAGAAACACAAATAATACATTAAAAAATGGGTAGAGGACCTGAATCAACATTTATCTCAAAAAGACATGTCAGATAGGCAACAGACACATGAAAGATGCTCAGTGTCACTAATTATCATGGAAATATAAATTAAAACTAAATAAGATAACACTATACCTGTCACAATAACTAAAATAAAAAAAGAAATTAAAATTAAGAAATGTTGGTGAGGCTATGAAGAAAAGGGAATCCTCATGCACTATTGATGGGATGTATTTCATAATGCCACTATGGAAATCAGTATAGAAGCTCCACCCAAAAATATAGAAATATCAGTATTTCCACTACTGGACATTAACCCAAAGAAAAGCATGTATTTTAGCTTTTATTTTTTAAAGATTTATTTATTTATTTATTTATGAAGGAGAGAGAGACAGAAAGTGAGCATCAGTGAGAGGAGTGGCAGGGGGACAGGGAATCTTAAGCAGGCTCCACACTGGACATTGAAACTGACATGGGTCTCCATCTCAGGATTCTGAGATTAAGACTGGAGCCAAAAAAAAAAAAAAACAAACAAACAAACAAACAAAAAAGACTAGAGCCAAAATCAAGAATTGGACACTGAACAAACTAAGCTACCCACATCTCTTTCTGAACTTTCATTTTCATAAGATTTTATTTATTTATTCATGAGAGACATGCACAGCGAGAGGCAGAGACACAGGGAGAGGGAGAAGCAGGCTCCATGCAGGGAGCCCGATGTGGGACTCGATCCTGGGATTCCAGGATCACACCTTGAGCCAAAGGCAGACGCTTAACTGTTGAGCCACCCAGGCATCCCCCTCTAGTTCTTTCAATAAGATCTTTTTTAAAAAGCCAGTATATAGTAGAAACACAACTGAAAAGTAGACGAGAGAAAAAGAGAAAAGAAATATTCTTCACAATAAATAAAGAGCACTATTAGAGTTCCTCTACAAACATCCCAAGGGAGGCATAGCTGTCTCTGTGCTCAAGAGTACTCCCTATTATTGTGCAGGGTAACCAGAGTGCATTCGTGTGACGATATCAAACAAAATTTGTATTGGCTCCGCTAAGTTCAAGATCTATAGTTTTTGACCTAAGTGAAGCAGGTTTAAGGGATCGGGCTGTGCCGGATCCCATAACCAAAGTAGACAGCAAATCCAACCAGGACCCAGGAACCAAATAGAGCCCAGGTGCCAGCTGTCATCTGCATCATAAGGTAAATATTCAAAAAGATGCTCAGGAGCGGGAGGAGAGGCAGACCAGGTACCTTAAAGTGAATGGGAGAGGAGCTCTGTGGCTGCCTCCAGATGACCCCAGTCATCCCAGTGATGAGCACCAGAAGCAGCACAACCACTGTGATCCACCATGGGTCTCCAGAAAGCAGACCTGGCCACCGGGCCAGCACCAGACAGAGAAGAGTCAGCAGCAGAACAAGCAGTGAGGAGCAAACAGAGACAACCCAGCCAGAGAATGCAGTGGGGGCGGGATTGCCTGGAAAAAATAGTGCCTGCAGAGTCAAACTCTCAGCTGCAGGTCTGTTCTCCTCCTGCACGTCTGCTTCATTTCCCTCATTCTCCTCCTGCACCTGCGCTTCATTTCCCTCATTCTCCTCTTGCACCTGTGTTTCATTTCCCTCATTCTCTTCCTGCACCTGCATTTCATTTCTCTCATTCTCTCCCATAACCTCTGCTTCTTTTCCCCCATTCTTCCTTTCAGGCTGATACCTGAGGATGAGAACAATAAAAGCCTGCAGAGAGAAAACTAAGAGGGCCCCAATTGACCTGAGGTCCAAGAGATCAGTGAATCCAAGGAAGAATGCCATTATTGTTCCAACAATGAAAATGATCATGGTAGCCAGAATGGGCATATATGTGCCGGTTTGGATCCTGGTAAGGACAGGGAATAGGAGGCCATCCTTTGCCATCATGTATACCTGTTGACGTATGGGGAACATGTTGCCAAAGACTTTGGTAGAAAGACTACAGAAAAATCCAAAGTTTACACAATGGTAGGCAGGGACCCAGCCAATATGGAGAAATGCCTCAGGCAAGGTGCTCCCAGGTTGAAGTTGGTAGTAAGGCACCATAAGTGTAAGTGCCGCAGACACACCAAAATACACCAAAAAGCAAATGAACAGTGAAATCATAATGCTTTTGGGTATTGAACACTTGGGATTCTGGGCTAATTCGACCCTGGTAACAATAATATTGAAACCTGTAAAAGCATAGATACAGGTAGCTGATCCACGGAGAATCCCCTGGAAGCCAAAAGGTACAAATCCTCCAGAGCCCAGAAGGCCCAAGCTAGAGGTGTCATTGAGTCCAGCCTTTATGTAGTCGTCTTCTGTGAGCTTCCAGTTGTGCAGGTCCCCTTTCAGGAAGCCAGAGATGATGACAAAACCAAGTGCCAATACTTTCACCAAAGTGAGCGTTTTGGTAACCAGAGAAAGCTGCCTAATGTTCCGAGTCAGCAATTCCATGATCAATAATAGAAGGAACATAACAATGAAGCCTAGAATTTCTACAAAAATACCAGGAGCTTGTGGTAAAAAAGTCTCCTGCAAGGTCAGAGAGAACTTGTTCCCAAAAAGATTGTCAAAGAATAAGGTCCAGGCCCAGATCCTAATGCCTATGTGAGCAAAAGTGGTGAGGATGAGGAACCAGCCAGTGATGAAAGCCCAGAGTTCACCTACAGTGACATAGCTGTAGAGATATGCGGAGCCAGAATGGGGAATCCGAGCACTAATCTCTCCATAGCACAGCCCAGCCAACACTGAAGTTAGGCCAGCCACCAAAATGCAAATCACAAAAGATGGCCCTGCTTGATCTCTAGCCACCTCCCCAGCCAAAATATATACACTTACACCCAGTGTGTTGCCCACACCCAGGACCACTAAATCCAGAGTGCTCAAGCTTCTAGCAGGGGCAGTCTCAGGCACAGGTAGCTCCAGTGGATGTTTGCGCACCAGCTTTTTACCAAATCTTCGGAGTGCCTGGCACAGCATTCTAGCTAGAGTTGTAGCAATCCTGGGGAGCCGTGAGTCTCAGATCAGGTTCAGTGAAGCTGCGTTAAGCCCAGTTGGGTTGAGGATGCCTCAACTGGTTGCTCAGTCTTCAAAGCTGCTGCTTTATATTTCCTCTGGTGTGTGCTGTTGCTCCATAATGCCTAAGACAGAATAGACAATAAATATATACTGACCCCATTATTCAACTCACCAACCAAAGCTCAGAAATCACATCACATGTTGCAGCCCAAATATCACAGAAAGTGACACCAAAGGACATCATAGAAAGATCAACTCAGTTTTCCTCCACAGAAAAAGTACCAAATACCTCTCAACATTCTTCTTTTTTACACACCACATGACATAATCCCATTTGGGTTCATCAAATTCCTGTAGCTTCATGTACTAATTAAGCTGTAAGACACAGCAGGGAATGAATAAATTGTGCAATAAATTACACACTGGATATGTGTGTGCAGTGCTAGAACATGAATTATGACACATAAAATCAGGGACTAATGGGCCTCATTGCAATTACAGACTCATTTTTAAAAAATCATCTGAGTTTAATATACAAATAGAGATCCTTCAGTCTTACAACACTTAGCCCCAAAATCAGATAGTCAAGATAGACAGGATTTGGTCCCCTTTCTCCTCATTATGCCTCATCCATTCAGCTGTACTGATGCCCAAGAATGTATAGTACACCCCTTCCCATTACCCATAGGCCCACAGGTGTTCTGTGAACAGAGAGGAGGAGGGAGGAAGGGGCAGGGCCTTCATAACCACCTGCAAAATGGAAAGGACCAGGCTGCCTGGGAAGGTAACACTGGAGAAATGGGGGCAGTACCACCCCAGGTCCAGGACTGAGAAGTGAGAAGAGCCAGGAAGGTGGTTTTGTGAATTCTGACATTCAATACAACTCGCCCAAACCAACTACTCAAAAACTCACTCAACTTTTATGTGCACATTTATGAGGATGTGATGAATAGGGAGAAAAGAAGTAAGTCACCTAGCTCAATAGCTCACAACCAAAATAATTCCTCTGTCTCCTCCTTCTCTAGGTTCCAAAAGAGAAGGTGAGCTGACTTCTGCAGACAGTCTCCTCACTAGCCACACTGTGCTTTATAAACACCCTGAACCATCTGTGATGGCAGCTGCCAGGGGCCTGGAGACCCTGCCCTGCTCTGTGAGTAGGTATTAAAGCACTTGCGTATAATTGTCTATTAATTTGTCAAAAGGAGTTTTTCTAACTCCCACAAACCATTGTCTGAAAATATTAAATATATTTTCTTAATGAACAAATGCTACATATGGAACATATGATTCCTCCTACCCCCTCCTTCCCTACTGCTATTCAAATGGTCCTCTCCTCAAGGGGAACAAGGCTTTGGGTGAAAAATTCACAGCAATGTCCAGAAATGAGTAGTGGGGAATATAGGGGACAGTGATGCAGCCCCCACTCTCCTCCCTACTGAGGCTTTGGTTTTGAGAGAAGATTACAAAATGTTGTCAGAGATTTTAAAGACATAAAGATGAAGTCAAAATTGAAAAGTCTTCTCTACGGATGATCAAAAGGAACTTTTGGGTTATGGGACAGACCTTCTGTCTATAAATCCATGTAGACTCCTTGTTTGCGACTCACCAGTTCCAATGTTATGATTTACCAATCAGTAGGTGAGATACATAAGGCAGGTCTGTTCTTCCCTAATAGAACATTTCTACAGTATCGATGTACTTGTCCCTCTAGCCTCATCCCCTACCCAGTTCCTACCCGAGCTGCAAAATTCTACACTCACCCTGTTCCCTTGCCTCTAATGCCCTCTTGGTCCTTTCGCTTAGCTACCTCCACTTCACTTTCAGTTCTCAGCTCAAGAGTGCTTTCCCAAGAAGCCTCCCTTGACCCTTGTGGTGCCCTCCCTATGTACTCTCATAGCACACAGGATCCCTCATGTGCCATTAATCCTAATGTATCAAAATTCCAGATCAGCCTCCTGTCTCCACCAATAAACTGTGAGTTAGATGATCAAGAAGTATTTGTGGAACAAATGACCACACTGAGAAGAAAACCTAAAAGAGACCATAATCCAGAATTCCTGCCTACATGACTTTGAGATACCTACTTTGTAGCCACACAAACCTTAAAAACCTTGTTCAGTAAATATGTAGATGGTATTACCTTCCTTGTAGAAGTCAATGAAAGTGAAGTGTGTAAGGAACATCACCAGAGACAAAACCTTCACTGCATGTCATTCATAGCAGGAATGAGCCATACAAGGTGATAAAGAATTGTTTGCCTTTGAGGACACTTTCTTTAAAAATATCAGTCTGTCTTGGATTATAGGCAACCAACTACCTATGCCTAGTTAGAGAATCCCTATTTTTTGAAAAGCATCATGATCAGGCTGTATAACCTACGTACGATGTCCTAAGGCCGAGGTTCTTACTTCAGGAGACAGAGGAGGCCTAACAGAGACACCTAGGTATTATTTATAAATTTCATATTCTCTCCCTCTGGAGATACTATTCCACTAGTACATCACATGACTGCTCTCCAGTCCACCTGACAAGAAATTGTCCTCAGTTTCAAAAGGAATAAATTATAAAAGCTTCCTTTACAGAAAGGCAGCACACTTTAGTGTCTAGGAGTAAGGCTCTGTAGGTAGGCTGTTCAGGTTCAAAACTCAACTCAATCTCACACCCAGGGGGCAAATTAGTTCACCTCTTGGGGCTTTAGTTTCCACAACAGTCAAATGGGAGAAAAAGTGAATCCCTCATAGGGTAGTTGTGAGGTGTAAGTGAAATGATGCCTGTGAGATATGTAGCTGAGTGCCTAGCACAAGCCCAGCATGCAATATGGACTTAATATCATCTACCTCAAATGTAAAATTGAAAATGATCCAGTCCCCAAACAATATAATCAATTAGTCTTTATAGATATCGAGCCCCGAAATCATCCACTAAAACTCAAGTCTGTTAGCTACCCTTCATCAGACATATGGAAAGAGTTTTATTCCAAATAATTTGCCTTGAAAGCTAAGGACTCTAATTTGATATTCTCATTCATTTTGTTACTAAACACTTGGAGGTCCAGGCTTACTGAGTCAGACCAGGCATTGAAAACAAGCAATGCTCAAACACAATAATAATGATAATAATAAATAATATCATCTTTGTCTACAGATACCTCATCTTATTTCTGGAAGAGACAGTGCCTGGTACTGTAGTGATAAGAATAATGATCATGATGACACAAAATCTGGATGTGAATCCTGGACCTTTCACATGGCTACATAAACTATAGTGATTTGCTTAACATCTATGCCTCAGTTACCTCATCTAGAAGGAAACTACTTGACTGGCCTCCCTGGCTCAGCTTGAGAATTCAGTGAGAAGATACAAACCATCATGAACTGCTGTGGGGGTGTCACTTGTGCCACCATTCTTAAGCACAATCTTAGTGGAATTAAGAACACACACACACACACACACACACAATTGGGCACTATAGTTGTTGAATGGGTAAATGTATCTAAATATACATGTAGAGCATGGATTGGAAGAACATTGTTAACTACACCAAAGCAAGGGCCTCCAGTAAGGAGGGGAAACAAGAATAGAGGTAAGGATGAAAAAAGGAAAATAAAATGAACTGAAAAGGGGCCTGACAAGAAATGATGGTGCGAAGATGCCATGACTGAGGAAGGGACTGACCGCACTCTGTTCACTGCGGGTTCAATACAGGAATTGCAGGAGATAATGTTATGAGAGGACCTAGTACAGAGGCTAATAAATCAGTAGCAGTCAGTAGATTTAACATGAAGGGGAACCAGAATTATATAATCTTCAGGATATGGAGAATACAAGGAAGGAATACCTGCTAGACAGAGGATGAAAAACAATGGAAAATGGGGGCACCCCTCCTACTAGTTTCTTCTGAACTCCTTTTCCTTTTCCCAATTCCTCTTCTCCTTCAGGTCCTTCAACTGTCCTTGGAGGCTCTGTAGTTGGTACTAAGAATGGTTGTACTAGGTTTCTCTTTCTGGGGAACTGTCCCCAGCCACCTCCCTCCCAACTAAGACACAACAGTGGTTCTTCACAGTGCTTGAATCACACCACCCCTCTGAGGTTAGTACCCTCAAAAAAAATATCATACACTCTTCTAAAGTCCATATCATAGACCTTGAGCAGGAATCCCAGAGGAGGACCATCTGAATGGCAGGGTCGGAAAGGGCTAATGCTTTTCATAATTTCTGTTTCCCTCAATTGTGTTGTGCAGGGTGGTCCATGTTATCTTTCCAATTTACTGAAGATGTATTTTACAGACTAAAATAGGAAGATACCAGAGAAGCAGCTCAAAGAACAAAGCATCTGAAAATCAAATAATTACCCGACTCCAAGAGGAGAAGGCCAAGCAAGTACATGAACAAGCAATCTTATAGAAGAGAAAACAAACCCATGATTGGGAATCCTGGGCGAGCCTACTACAAATCCACCTTATAACAACACAGAGAAAGATCATCCTCAAATGCCATATCTAGAAATGCTCTTTCTCCATGCAATAATCTGATTATTCCAATGGTTTATATTCAGGCCAGATCTCTGAATCAGCTAGTCAGAGCCCCACTCTAATTCTTCCCCGACCATGAGGTCCATCACCTCTTTCCTAATTCAGCTCTCACATCCTGACTTACCCTTCCTGGGATGAGCCTGTGGCCTGGGTACGTATCTTCCCTGTTAGGGTTACTCTCCTCATTCCTTCTGTCCATTCTTGGCATGATATATCTTCTTAACATTATTCTAAAAGCTTTCCCCAACATCTAGAAAGCCATTTGTAAGCCATTATTTCCAATCTTCTTCCCCTTTTCACCAGTGCTTATTATCCATCCTGATGCTCAGCTAAAACTAATTTTCTCTTTCTGTCATGTCAGCTGGTGTTCTAGATATGTCCTTAAATTATTTTATAGTCTAAAGCATCCAGAAGGCTGGGCCAGGGTCCATATACATCTTCCTACTTCTAAATTATACATTCTTATCCCCAATTCTCACTCTTCAGGACAAGGTTATGCTAAGCAACCATAAGAGGAATTTAGGGCAGAGAAAATGAATGTATGAAAATATTGATTGACTATTGTTATCTTGAGATTCCTAGAAGGTTTGT